GTGAACGCGAAACTTCGCAAGGGCATATTTCATTGCCAGGAGCTCCTTGTCATGGACAGGGTAGTTCCGCTCGGCGGCTTTGAGCTGCCTGGTCTGGAACGAGATGACTCGTTCCTGTCGAGCCGTGTCGCCCTGCAGCAATGCACACCCGATGGCGTAATCGGAGGCATCGCAGACGACGCTAAACGGCTTCGTCTCGTCCGGCAGAGCCAGGACAGGGGCCTCTTGGAGACTGGCCTTGATGCTGTCAAAAGCATCCTGGTGCTCTTGTTCCCAGCGCCAGTCGACGTCCTTCTGAAGGAGGCTCGACAAGGGCTTAGCGAAGCCCGCGTACCCTGCGCTGTACTTGTGAAGGTAGTTGGCCAAGCCCAACCACTTTCGAAGATCCTTCTGGGATCGGGGCGTCGGCCATGCTGCTATGGCCTTGACCTTGTCTGGGTCAGCCCGAACGCCCACATGCAGACGAAGCAGCCACAAACCTTGATATCTGGTGATGCGAAGACGCACTTGTCGATGTTGGTGTAGATCTTGTTCGCTCGCATCACGTCCAACACTCGATGGAGGTGTCCTAGATGCACCTCCATGGCCGTCTTGCCTCCCTCGGCACGGCTATGAACGAAAATGTCGTCGAAGTACGTCTGTACGAAGGTACGCAAAGGGCGGAACAATTGCGTCACCAGGCGATTGAACGTCGCCGGGGCGTTAGACAAGCCCTGCGGCATGACGAGCCACTCCCAAAGCATGCCGCTTGGAGTGCTTACCGCGGTGAGCGGGATGTCACTCTCTCGCATCAGGATTTGGTAGTATCCGTCTACCAAATCCAGCGCACTGTACAGTACGCTCCCGGTCATGTTGTTCAACAACACATCCTTTCGTGGTATCGGTGTTTGGGCCGGCACCGTTGCGTTGCTCAGCTTGTTATAAGCGTGAACCAGACGCCACTTTCCGTTCGGCTTACGAACGCAAAAAGTCGGCGTCGAGTGCGGGGATTTGGACTCCCGCACCATGCCTGCCTTCGCTTTCGCGACGAAGAAGGCATCAATGACTTCGCACTGTTCGCGCGGGAGAGGCCATTGCCTCGTGACACAATACTTTGTGCCGGGCACGAGATCAATCTCGTGCCGTACGCCTCGATCCGGTGGGAGTTGGGTCGGTGGGTGTTTGCTCACCACGTCCGCATACTCCGTCACCAAAGGATACACCGGATTCTTGGGGTTCTTGAGAATCTCAGAACCCAAGCGCGCCTGACGCTGCTTGTTCATGTCTTCCAGGACGTTCTCGTCCAAGACAGAGGAGGAGTTCAGCTCCTCCTGAGTGGTCTCAGGTCTCATGAGTACCATCTCAGCAATCTCTCCAGCCTTGAGGTTGGCCAGGAAAGACTCAGCCGTCATTTCCTCGAGGTTCAGTATCTCTGCAACCTCTGAAACGGTTCCAAGTGGACACGAGATGCCTTGACGGGTAAACCTGTCTCGCCATCGAAGAAGTGATAACACTCTTCCACCGGCCTTGTCGGAGGAGCCCGGGCCCTGGACTTCGAGTCGCTTGAGGCGACGTCGATCGGAACGAAGTTCGGACCCGACTTGAGGCGGCGGCGTCTTTGTCGACGGCGTCTATGACGGGGAGATTTGCTGCCCACGTCTAGGGATGTCGTCGCTACGACATCCGAGGCACTCGTGGCCTCGTGTGGTACTGTTGTACCCACACAGAAAGCGTGTTCAACGCCTTCCGCTTCAGTTAAGGTCTGGGCGACCGTGTGTGGCACTGTGTTACCCACACAGGAAGCGTGTTCAACGCCTTCCTCTTCAGTTAAGGTCTGGGCGACCGTGAGTGGAACTCTGTTACCCACTCTGAACACGCTGTTCTCAGTGTTCATGACAGCTGCAGCTGTCTGCGGAACTAAGTTACCCGCCTGTGGACCTAAGTTACCCACTTGGCCGACGCCTCTTCTGGGCGCGGCCACCATCAAAACAACCTTGGGGTCGTCATATACGTCGACGACTCCCAAGCATCTGCCGGATGCGTTGGTACCCAGGCAGCCCTCGCGGGCGCCCCGGGTCCTGACAGAGGTGGGAGCATGACTCCATAATGCTCTGTCGGACTTCTCAGGGCGGCTGGCACCGATTGCCTTGCCTCGCCAGTCGATCCAGGGCTCGTGCTTCTCAAGCCAGGGCATGCCCAGGATCATCATATGGATCCATATCGAGAACAGTGAACTGTTCGAGGCTGTCAAAGTCTTCAAACTTGACGGCCAGATCCACTTGGACGTTGGGGACAGTGACGACCTTCCTTCCTACTAGTCGCACTGATACCGTTCCGTTGCCCTTGCTTTCTCTCAAAGCATCAGACAACTTGTTGCTGTTACGAGCAACCGTCTGGCGGCGTGCGAAATTCTTCGACGCCCCAGAGTCAATCAAGATTCTAAAGGGATGATCGTATCCCCGTACACATCCGTGTACTATGAGCAACCCGCCGCTGCTCTTCGCCGATTCGAGAGTGCGAAGACTCTTAGGGGCTAAGTCCCCGTGGTACGCGCCACCCGCGCACCCATCACGAAGACTTCGTTCTTCCCCAGTAGGGCGCCCCGCCCCTACTAGTTCCCTGCGTTCCCCTGTCCCCGAGATCCTGGCTTCTGCCAGCGACCCTTGAGGACGGGCTTGGGGAAGGACCGTCTGCGGAGTCTTTCCGCGGGACAGTCGCGCTTGAAGTGGCCCATCTTCCCACAGCCGAAGCAGCGGATGTCACGCTGTTCGGCGGATCCGAGTTCCATGGGAACTGGTCCGTTGGGGCTTGTTCGACCGGGAGCCGACAAGGAGCTCCCAGGCCACGCTGAGGTCGGCGTACGCGCCTGGCGATGGCTGTACTCTTCTTGAAAAGCCACTTGAATCGACTCTTCAAGGGTGCTTGCCTGCACCCGGAACAGCTGAGTGCGTGCGGGGCCCACTCGAAGGCCGTCCATGAACACAGTCATCTTGATGTGTTCATTGAGTGGGTTTCCCACTAGGGACGCCGTGAGCTCCCGTATCTCTTGCATATACTCGTGCTGCTCACGCCTCCCATGTTTACACGAGAGGAAGCGCGAACGCTGGCGGTACTCGTAGTTCGCCGGGAGGAACGCGCCTCGGAGCTGTTCGCACAGCTGAGCCCAGGATGTGAAACATCCAGGGGATGTTGCTTCCCGAGTGTACAATCAACTCTTAGCACGACCGCTAAGGTTGGAGAGTGCAAAAGCAACACGCAGTTGCTCGGTCGAGATAAGAGCCGCGTCCATCGCGAGCTCTACTTCTCGGACCCAGAAGTGAAGGTTCTTGCCTTCCTTCCCTTCATACGGCTTAACCTTCAGCCGTATTGGCTTCGGGTGAGGCGGATTTGCTTCCGCCGCCGGAGCGTGCAGGTTCTCCCGCACATGCGCGATGAGGCCCTGCTCGTACGCGTCGAACGCATTGACGCGCTCGAGCTGCTCGGCCGGTGTTGACACCACCAGGCTCTGCAGGGCCTCCATCCCGAAGATGCCTGCCATCTTCCGAACCGACACGAACTGAGAGTCGTTCATATGGGAGAAGTCGTTCCTGTCCATGGCAACGAACTTCGGAGAGGTTCAGGTAGTCTACCCGCGGTGGCGTGGATTGACTACGAGTGCTACCAAGTGTGCCGGGGTCACACAGCACCTTGCGCTAGAGGAAGTTATCTTCCGAGAGTATACAAACTCTCAGTGAACGGCAGTTCACAGGCCCCCTCTTTATTCAAAAGAGAGCGAAGTGACCTAATTAAGGTAGACTGTAAACTGAGTATATTTATAGGTAGGTTAAGTTTGGGTTTAATACAAACTATTAGTTACCTATAGGAATGCAATGTCATTTAACCAATGGTTGGCTTTGAACGACCTTAGTACCTTGTTCCAAATATCCCGGAGTATGAAGTGTCACACTTCATGTAACCAGGGTACACTTAGGGCTACGTACCCCGTTACAGGTGTGAAGTAACTTAAGTGACAAAGAAATTTTTAATTTTTATTTTCAAAAAGCAATGGCGATTTAGTGCAGAGCTAACTGGTGGTCGGCATCAAAACCTCTTCTTCTGGCATCACGCCAACAGAACCAAAGCATGGCCTCGCGGCCCGGACACGCGTTCTCGACGCACACAAGGCTGGGCAGGACTGGGCCTTAGTAGCCGATTGCAACGGAATTCCAGCTACAACGATTCGGACTATCGTCGAGCGAGGAACCCCGGACATCAAGAAGAGAGGCGGCGCGCGGGTGACATGCACTAAGTGCACGACGTGTACCGCGACCACTTCGCTGGCAAGACGGTTGTCATTGTCTTAGACAACGCTCCTGCTCATAGCCAGACTGAGAATCTGATTACTGAGCAGGAGGACTTGGAGCTGTTGCGGTTGGCGCCATACTCCCCCATGTGTAACCCGATTGAGGGTATGTTTTACAGACAATTATAGCGTGCACATGTACTAACATTTGTGTCTATTTTACTGTGCGGCAGGGTGTTTTAGTGTATTAAAAGCACGCATTAAGGCTTATCTTGCCTTAAGTCATGACGAAATATTTCTTGCTCCACACGAAGAGAAAACAGAGCGCCGGATGCAGCTGCTTGAAAACGCTGCAGATCATAGCTTGCCATGTATGGATCTGCGCTTGGTTAACAAGATGGCGCGCCACTGTGCGCTGTCAGTGGCGGCAGCAATTCGTAGCGAACCTATGGAGTACGGCACGTAAAGTTTTGCACTACACTAAATCAACTTTGCATGACAGGCTTTTTCTAAAACAAAAAATTTCAAAAATTAAAAAAATTAATTACGGGACGTTCCACTTTGCTTTACATTGTCACCGATTTGGACTCGCAAAGGTGTAGAACCCTGAAGTGCATATTAAGATTAAATGGTGTGTTGACATTGCATCTGTCGCTTTGGCACTTTACGAACGTATTTACTGTGTTTCTGAGTGAGCGCATTTGCAGTCAAATGTTTTTTTTGCTCGGATAGTTGCAAGCTAGCCCTGTTGATGTGCATTGGTGTTCATTCCGCCCGTGAATGTGAAAGGCACCTTGGCAAAGTTCTGCATGTTTTTCTTCCAGTTCTCCGTCATGTCGCTCATCTTGCCCTCCATTTCCGCGATCTTACCCGTGGGCTTGCGCTGCATCCCCAATGTGTCGAGATACGCCGCCAGCTCACTCTTCTTGAGCCCTTTCACAGCCATAATATTCTGAAAATCCTCCGCAGAACCCTCAGGCCACATGATCTTGAAGCTCTCGACGAGCATTTCGTTCGGAGTGCCAATTAGCTTCAGCACGTTTTCCACCGTCGCCATCTCGTTCGAGACGAACTTGGTGTAACGTGACGGGATCGTCGCTGTGCTCGTTGAGGTGGAAGAGGATTGGAAGCCGTCGTTGTTCAGCACTGGCAGTAGAAGGAACAACGTCTTGAGAGCGTACACGTCAAGAAGAAGTTGCTGCGTTGCTACCTGGTTCATCCTTCGGCACTTGAACACGGCCTGCAAGATCTTGGGCACGAAGGACGCCGCGAACTTATCGCAAAAGTTGGTAAAGTACAGTCCAGACAGCATTTGCCGCAACACCGGCACAAATGTCTGCAGCTTCTCGCCCATTTGCGTAACGTACAAACTCTCGTCGCCCACGGCTTCCCATGTCTGCCAGTTGGCCTTGTGGAGTGCGTTCAAATCGTCATCCAGCGATGTCTCCAATCCAGCAACAATACACTTCATAGCTGCGGCGCCCACGTCGTGGAACGTATCGATCTCTTGTGATAACTCAATGGCTTCACTGAACGCCTTGTCAATCTTCGCTCGAATTACTTCCTCCAGAGATGGCAGCGTCTCAGCGCAGTACTCGGCCGTGTTGATTACGAAACATAGTTCCTCTTCCTGTTTATCGCTCAATTTGACCTTGTTGCCCGCACCACTGCTTGAAGAATCCAGACCGCCTGATGACCCAGTCGAGGCAGCAGGGAGTTTCGCGAGAAGTCGTTGCGAGTAGAGCTGAAAGCAGTGTTTGAACTCGTTCTGGAGGTCAAAGAACGTCTGGCCGTTTGTCAGGGCCGTACATCGTTTAATTGAATTGCGAATGTAGGCAAACATGTTCACGGAGCTCGAGAACACTGGCAGCTGGCCGTTCCGATCCACCAACTCGGCACTCATCACCTCGTTGATCATCTGCTCCATGTTCTTACGCTCCAGTGCTACATACGCCGTCATGAACGGGTCGAATGAACGAGATATCATTCCCCGAATAGTCGGCAAGCCCTGGTTATTGTCGTCCGTGAGCTCGCCGTTCTTCTCCATCTCTTCTTCTAGCGCTTTACGCTCCGCCTCACGCTTCTTACGACGATGTTTTCTCTTGATTCCTTCAGCGGAATGTGGGTCAATGGCATCGCCGTTCTCGTCCAGTTCCACTTCCTGAAGCTCTTCTCCATCGGCCATCCCTTCGAAGCGCTGTGCTGCGTCACGTTCAAACATGAGCGTTCGTTGTAGAGACTTCAGCAGCAAAGTCACGTCCATCTCGTCCGGAGTGTGTGCTCCTATCTGTGCAAGTAAATGGGTCCGCGTTCGGTCACAGAACTGAATGCACATCCGTCGAGCCATTCGCCAATGCTTTGGGAAATAGCGTTCAAGCGATCGTCGATGGCAGAGAGGAGATTGTAGAACCACGTGTATCTCGTTTCAGCCTGGTGCAACCTAGCGCACTCTCCCCCGTCCCCGTAAAGTCTCTCGTAGGACATCAACTGTTCGTCACAAAATAAATGGATCAGTTTCTCTCTGGTTGCTTTGCCCAAGGCATCGACAGCTGCACACGCAGCCGAGAGGTTGGCAAAGACAGCTTGTCGTTCTTCTTCGGATGGAAAATTGTCCTCCAACGACTCCATTGGGCCAATAGACCGAAAGTCGGCAAAAGATCTGTCCGCCAAGTTCTTCCTGCAATGTGCGCACAGTTTTGTGAAGTTCGACGATCTTACTGACGTTTGTGTAGCCGTCGAAGTGCGTGAAGAGTTGGTTGACAGCTTTAAGCGAAGATGCGCCTCGCGATAATTACGTTGCGAGGACATAAACTCTAGCTGATCAACGGCATTAACCAGCATGTGCAACCGCTTTAGCGCCGTGAGCGTGGTCTGCAGATGACGCTTAGCATAGTCGAGCTGCTTGATGTCGCGACAGATCTCCTGCACCATGACCTCGGACTGCTCTGCCTTCCCTCGGATATCGTGGATCTTGTGGAAAAGCTGCTGACTCGCCGTTTTCGCTTCCTTCAGATCCAGAAGCGCCTGATGTGCCGCTAAACTCTGGTCTTGTGACGCCTGAGACAGCGAGTCGTCGAGCTCCTTCATACGCCCGCGGAGACGGCTCACAAAGTCACCAATGTCCCCCAGACTCTGCTCGTCCGGAAAGTTTCGGTTGATGAACTCGCGCGCATCGAACTCAGGTCGGTCCAGCAGGTCCTCCGAGGGCAAAACCTGTACATGAGACGTTGGTGAGACCTGGCAGTCAACTTGATACAGGACTGCAACACGAGGAAGATACTTTGGCTAGCGTGTCCTCCACGTTCTGAGGGAGTTTTAATGCACGTCCATCGCCGTCGCTGTACTCGCTGGCCCTGGGCCACGACGCAGTAATCGATCCATTTTCGACTCTTTTGAAGCTCGAGGATAACATATGATGGGATATTAGGACTTTCGAAATATTGCTTACCAAGATTTATATAATATTCGTAAGAAAGAAAGTAGAAAGTAGCAAAAATAAGAGCACCCCGTAAAAATTGATTTCTTACACTTTTGTGATACCGGTAGCTTGGTGGTACAATACTGCACCCCGTTTTCGCGGGGTGGACCATATAGGATTTGCAAATAAATCAGATTTTAGCTGTGTTCATTTGGATTCGGTATCATAACATCCGAAAGGTCCAATGGCGCGAAAACGGGGTGCAGTACTGTACTGGCATCAGGACTGTCTGAACTGCTGTTTATTTAGTTCGCAGACTTAATTCTGCGCGGGGAAGCTTTCAGCTGATAATCTTCTTTTCTCAGATTCCGTCCTCGGCCCCACACTCTTGGTAGGACCTACCTCGGACAAACCAAGAAGCTTCGTTTCAGTATGCATACGTCAACCTGAGAACAAGGTCTTATCCCTTCCCCTCAGTAAGATCTACACCCGTTTCGAGCGAAACCTTTGCTCAATTTTCAAGAAAGAGAAGAGAAAAATGAGCGCATACTGCGACGGGGATTCGTATTGTTCTACGTGGTCCGGCCAACATCAACAGTTGCAGCAAGTATGACGACTTCAAAAACCGCCGATGAAATCCGCGGCGCCATGGATGCGCTGAAGCTTGAAGTGATTGCGACTTACTTCGATCAAGATGACGACGAACTTGATCCGTACGTCGTTTGTGAGGGAGTCTCTATTGCTGCTTTCAATGAGTATGTTGGAGACGGCGAAGGGCTGCGGATTCCACTTCGATTTCTCGCCCTCAACGATGGGCGTATCGTGATTGTCGAACTTCCAACGAAAGTGCATGAAAGCACTGCGGCATCTTTCGAGAAAATGTTCAATCGGGCATCAGGCAATGATCTCGAGGTTGCAAGTTGCCGCTCGATGACAGCGAGAATAGCTGGCAACCCGAACAAGGAGGCCGATACGAGTTTTGGCCCAAAGAGAACGACGCTCAACCGAACACCGGCACCGGCACCCCGCACCGCTACCGATTGGGTGACACTGGCTGTGGAGATTGGAAGATCTCAGACGTGGGCGAGTCTGGAAGCAGCTGCTCAATGGTGGTGCAATTACAGTGGAATCCAGTATATTCTCCTGCTGAAAATCAGTCCTCAAGGTGTTCAAATGCGATACGCGCTTTATGACATCGCCGTACTTGGCACTCTACCAGCGCCAACTGCAAGTGGAACGTTTCGACGACGCACCAGATCTCAACCAGCTGTCAATGTCTCCTTCGACATGCGCAGAATATTATCGATCCCCCCGAATGCAGCTCTTCCACCTGGCGTGAATCCAGAAGCTCGTGTCGATCTGCGCATCGTCATGAATCTTGTCATCGACAGTCTTGATTAAAAAAAGCACTGCCATGGATTCATGCGGTTCTGCTGCAGTCTGAAACTCTGCTTTGTGAAACTACCATGCATTCATGATCTGACCAGACTCCACTAGGGACCTTCGATACGTAATGCTATGTAGTACAATGTTCTTATTAGTTTCTGCAAGTTTCAATGACTAAAATATTAGCTGCAACGGTTTTGTAATAGAAATATTAATTATTATCTGAGTGTGAGGTAGCTGACTAAGCTAGCAAATAGTAGTACATGTACAACAGAAGCTGGCCGTAAGAACAACGCTGTGATAATAAACGCTGTCACTTGATCCGTAAAAAAAGATAGCTTTAGATGAGCCCATATGTGTAACTGCTGTAAGCCATTGTTTTCTAAGAGTTGTTTAGACAGCAAGATCCCGATACTATTTAACTGGCGGACGTGTCACCGACAGGGGCGTAGGACAAGATTTTAAATGGAGCGGAAATACAACAACAAAATCACGAGAGGTGTTAAATATAGTTGATTAAGTAGACCCCATAAAGAAACGTTAATAAACTTGGAGACTTTAATAAATCATGAATAACCATCATGCCATGATCGTTAAGCTATCACATAAAAAACACGACCGTCAACATTAACAACAGCAAGGCGTCTTGCGACACATTATTGAAACGCTTTCATCAAAACTGACACGGAATCGAGTGTCTAATGACTAATTCTGAGTCAGCACAAAATGAACGCTGCATGCATAAAAACATTACAATTCGAATATTTTCGAGCTTTCATTGAGTTTTGTGTGAGAAGTGAGCAGTTTTTAGCCGCTTACAAGCTCAAATAGGCAGTACAAGCGGGTAAGAACTTCTTACTAAGAAGTGCAACCTGGACACACCATTACTATCATGTGAGCTCAGAATTGGTCCGTGATATCGACTAAAGTAAACATATTGTGAAGCGTTTGTATAAATGTTATTTGAGGTGCAGGTGGAAGGTGAATGATAGCTGACAATAATATTAATAAAAAATTGCATCATGAATATTGATGCAAGATCATTAGAGCAATTACTTTAATCGGGCAATATGATGCTAACCCAGATTAATATAATTAAAAAGAGGATTTAGGCACAAAGGAGTTCAGCAGGGTTTAGGCCAAAGCTAATGTAGCGGCGGCGCTTGGCTAGTAATAACTAATGCAATTTGGTCTGCTACTTTTGCCAAGCGACCGACTTCCTGGCAACGCTGCTGTACTATGGGAGCAGCACAACTTCTTCTGTCGATATTGGTGCAACTATGTTTGTACCCCACCTGGCCTGTGCTGCCCAAGGAAGTCTTTACAGGCAAAGCCACGACGTACAGCCTCGAACCAGCCCTCGGAGGGACTGAAGCGCGCGTATGGCACCGTACGGCCTCAATTCCTCGTTTTTCGTGGCGATGAACTGTGATCAGTATTACGAGTCGTCCAGGTGCAATCGCTGCTTGTCCATCATAGGCGAAAGCGTCACAGTCGCGGCCTTTGTGGCAGACTTGTGCTACGAATGCGACCACGGCAATCTCGATCTGAACACAGCGTTGTGGTACACTGTGGTGTTGGAATTCCCACGTACAAATGTAGCTAGGACGTCTCCACAACAATACGTCTACTAGGATAGTAAACGATCGTTCGAACGGACCTGAAGACCCAGTTCTGCCCTTGCACCGGGACAAACTGGACCTTGTAAACTACTTATATAGGCCAACCAGTAAAAATAAGAACACACTTCTAGCACGAGCAAAGCTAGCCGGTGTTTTAAATCCTCGTGGTCTCAACAGCGGAAGGGTACCAGGCACGAATAAGCATTTTACGAGGTCACCGACTGTTTAACACTCGGTTGGAAGAATAAAAGGGGTGCAATTCAAGCACTCCCAGTCGGGCAAATAGGCAACAATAAGCCGTCATGTAAAACCTCCCGATAGTATTCGGCCAATACACAAAATCTCTTGGTCTTGCCGGATGAACCCTCGCTACAGAGCTTCGAGTTCACCGACAGGCATAAGACACTCAAACAAGCTTGACCTGACGCTTACCTTGAAGCCGGACGGCGCTCTGTGTGCTTGAGTGGAAATTCTGTTCTGTATTTAAGCTTACCCTTCCGGGTCTATTCCTAATAAGAAGTACTAATCAAGTTTACAAATATCAAGTGAACAATGATCCGTTATGGATCTTCTTGCATGCCAAGCGTCGTCTGCACCGTCGCATGAGTATCTTTAACGGTCCGCGCCCTGTCCCAGACGGTGAACGTGCTTCCAAAGGGTCGCTAAATCTTCCGCGAACTCATCCCAACCGCCACCGAGGGTTCGTATCGTAGATGGTCCGCTGAATGCGAATCAATTGTTAATAATCAGGACAGCCTGGATTCAGTGACATATGAGCCGTATCCAATATCCGTCGAGCGTTCGGTAGTGACGCCGTCGAGTCCCTTGCACCTTGGCGTCACCGTACATCACATGACCGAGGGTTCGTCGCTTGAACATCTTGGGCGGTGTCACGTAATTTGTCGACGGGTGATAATCCGCAACTACGGAAAAATCACTATACCACAACTGCCCCTGTCGCAATGAAAGCCACGATACTGGTGCCCGTTGTGACATTTTTTCATTCTCCAATTCACCATTCAGTCACCGTATGTCCAAGCGTTTGAATCGAGCCGTGTCCGACGCGTTTCATCGTCTCAATCCTCGCCGACGTCGCGAGCGTGAACAGCTGGAGGTACGTCAGCTCATTCTTCTCTTGAATCATCGGCGCCTTGCTCATCGACTAATTCTGAGTCAGCACAAAATGAACGCTGCATGCATAAAAACATTACAATTCGAATATTTTCGAGCTTTCATTGAGTTTTGTGTGAGAAGTGAGCAGTTTTTAGCCGCTTACAAGCTCAAATAGGCAGTACAAGCGGGTAAGAACTTCTTACTAAGAAGTGCAACCTGGACACACCATTACTATCATGTGAGCTCAGAATTGGTCCGTGATATCGACTAAAGTTAACATATTGTGAAGCGTTTGTATAAATGTTATTTGAGGTGCAGGTGGAAGGTGAATGATAGCTAATAATAATATTAATAAAAAAATTGCATCATGAATATTGATGCAAGATCATTAGAGCAATTACTTTAATCGGGCAATATGATGCTAACCCAGATAAATATAATTAAAAAAAGGATTTAGGCACAAAGGGGTTCAGCAGGGTTTTCAATAATTATCCCACCAAAGTGCAGCGGAGGCCAAAGCTAATGTAGCGGCGGCGCTTGGCTAGTAATAACTAATGCCAATTTGGTCTGCTACTATTGCCAAGCGACCGACTTCCTGGCAACGCTGCTGTACTATGGGAGCAGCACAACTTCTTCTGTCGATATTGGTGCAACTATGTTTGTACCCCACCTGGCCTGTGCTGGCCAAGGAAGTCTTTACAGGCAAAGCCACGACGTACAGCCTCGAGCCAGCCCTCAGAGGGACTGAAGCGCGCGAATGGCACCGTACGGCCTCAATTCCTCGTTTTTCGTGGCGATGAACTGTGATCAGTATTACGAGTCGTCCAGGTGCAATCGCTGCT